ATGATCATGACATTCCTACCTTTAATCTGTTAACATGATGAAATGACATATTAAACCAATCTTAAATTCTTTGTGATAAACTCTATTTAGCTATGAAAAACTAGCTCTTTATACAATTCCAGATTCTGCTTCTTAATAATGGCTATAACTTTTGCATCTCCCATCACACGGCTGTTATGGCATTGTCCCGTCCTGCATTATTACTCTCGCCCACTTCGGGAATCAAGGTGGGGGGCTGGAGAGTACTCCCTGCTTCCTCCCCGCTGTGTTCTGGAATGGATGAGCAGAACTGAGAACATTTGTTCCCTGAATGTGTGCTAGAATAAGAGAGTTAAACCATCTGGACCTTGTGGAAAGATTTTTGCCAACAAATTCCATTTCTGGAATGACTATTTTCTCTCTCTTCCTGACCCCACCGTGGTGGGTCCCAGCTCTCCATCTCTAAGCCTGTTGCTGGGCTGCTGCCCATCTTGTCCCACCCCCACCTTTCCCATCCCTGCAGCACTTTCTCCCCTAGCAGGCTGCACTTCTCCTCCTTGCCTTTCTTCTTGATCAATTTTGCTAGATATTTATCACTCATGTTAAAAGATGACCAGAAATTGTCTGTATTGCTGATATTTTTTAACAGAATTATCTTTCTAGAGAAATTTTAAGTTCAAAGAACAACTGATCGGAGAGTACAGAGGCTCTCAAACACCACCCCCAACACACTCACAAGCAGTTTCCCTGTTATTCACACCTTGTGTTAGTGCGAGTGCAGTACACTTTACACTTAATGAACCCCTATCAATGCATCTTTATGAACTGAAGTCCCTAGTTCACGTTAGGGCTCACTCTTTACATGTGTAATGACCTGTGTCCACCTTTACCGTATCATAGGTATTGGTTATAACAATCTTTTCTAAGAACTGACTTCAGCTTCATTGATCTTTTTTATAAAATATTTGTTTTCTACTTCGCTAACGTGTGCTTCATTATTTCCATCTACTTACTTTAGGGCTATTGCACTTTTCAAACTCAGGTAGAGAAAACACAAGCGGTTCCTTATTTCACTCAGTCTGGTTTCCTCGGTCCCTCTGCGTGGCACCTCAGGCCAGTCCTCACGCCACCTGCCTCCAATGTGCGAGTCTGAAACCAGTCTCCTATAGCTACTTTCCTATTCATTTCTGCTTCTCTACCTCCTCTCCTCTCCGTTCCCAGTCACCTGACAAATTCTGCTGATTGTGTCCTAAATTCATTAAGGGAAGGGACATCTCCATTTCTCTACTGCCAGTAACTTATTCCACATCCTTTCACTCAGAGCTGGAAACAAACATCTCTTTAACTGCATTTCCTAAAACACTGTTTTCCATCATGACACTCAAGACTTTGGAAGTCCTCCTTTGGTACTCAAGTTAGCCTTCAGGTTGGTCTATGATCCAGTACCCTCTCTCCACCAGCGCATTTTCCTCTCCCAGTAGTCTCTAGGCAAATGTTCCACTCAAATCAAGCATAACACACAACTTAACCTTGATCCCCATTATTCATCTTATGCCCCCACCTGACAGTTTCTCCACCTTCTCTTCAAACCACATAACTCATCCCCATGAAGAATCTCGTCCTCTGTGGAATGTTCCACAATTGTGCCAGGCTATCACTGGACTTGTCGCAAAAACTCATTTTTGCATTTGTAACATATTCATATAAAGCAATGTAAAAATAACTTTTTCTCAACATCTATTTTTTTTTTGCTAACTAGATAAGCAGCTTCTTAGACACATAAACTGCACTTTACACTCTTTTAGGATCACTAAGAACAGATGACATTGTAGACAGCTAATACTTACCGAAAGGCAACAAGTATTCATCAAATAGAACTTACCTTACCCGCCAGGCGGCTGGAGATGACCCCATTGCTAGACAGAAGACAGTCAGTCAGAGTAGTTTTTCCTGTTAAAATAACAATTTTAATTCAAATCTATTTTTTTTCTAAACAGGAAGGGAGATATACCGCACCTACAGAGTTAACTTCTGACTATGAGAACTGGTTTTGCAAAGATTTCCTATTTACCTATACAGAGTGAAGCAAGACCTAATGAGCATTTAGACTTCTGAACAGAATACCATCTGGAAGGACACAGACTCTACTGCTCAAAGTGCTGTAATTTCTATTTCCACCCCGAGGGATCTCATCACCCTCACCTGAAAAGTTGTCAAGTGACTTTTTCCCCCCCAGGATAGTTGTTTTTTGTTTTTTTTTTTTAAACAGAGGCATCATGTATACAGTCAAATGCAGACTCCTAGGTAATGAATAAACCAACATGCCAATGAAAAGACAGAACATCTGATAAACGATACATAGTTAGTAAAATCTGTTCTACAAGAATTTGACTTAGTTCATCATAATTATTAATCATCTGATATCTGAAATAGTGACCATGCTATTAACTTACACTCTTGATAGCTTAGAATGACAAAAGGAGAGCAAAGCACTCATTTTTGTCTCTGAATGGCATACTGGGTAAAACACCACCGAAAAACAGAACATAACCTTCTGCCGTATTTCCTCAAGTACAGCCCTGGCTGGTATTTGCCAGTTAAACTGTCTTAAGAAAAACTTAGCAAAGAAATTCAGGAGATTTACCCTTAGCTCCTACTGTGAGGGCATCAGCTACACTGTAGCTACTCCCAAAGTTACCTAGAATCCAAACATAAAGCTAGGGAGCTACTATGTAATAAAAAAGTCTTTGTAGACTCAAGTACACACTCAGAGTTTCACACAAGGTTTTATGGAGTCTACACAATTTGGAGTGGCAGATAAATTTGTTTAAAGAGTGCTGCTTTTATAGTTACTGCAGCTGGGCTGAAGTAGCAAAAGGAGGGTCTTTTCTTTAAGACAAGTAAGTCTAGAACACTCTGGGAACTTCAGCAAACCCATGGAATCTGTAATAGTACAAACCAGAAGGCAATCATGGGAGCACTGAAGAGCTGTAATAATGTGCTGTCCACTTGGCATGGACATCTTGTGTGTCCGCACAATCCTAGGGCGACACTTCCCTACGATCCAGTGGAGTAGAACTCATTATCACTACGGCAAGCATGTACCCCCTGGAGTGTTAAGTGCCCAGAAAGCGCTATCTTTCTGCACTCTGGCTGCATTCCTAGGACCAGACACCATGTGATTTAATTCACAAAGCAAAAGAATACTTTTGCCAAACCTCATGTCCTCAAAATGTGAGCAGTCATTATAAAAACTCAAGGGGGGCAGAGGGTCAGTGATGGATCTGTACATACCACTCCCTCTCAGCTGGCTTCACCGACACAGTGATCTACCACTTCTCCTTCTCCCAGTTCCCACACCACTGCCCTCAGCTACTACCTCCGTGGCAATAGCCACCTCACTAACCTCTTATCTGCCTTTCAATGCACATGAACACGTCCACCAGACTAATCTTTCTAACGTGCTGATTACAACAGCCCTGCTTTGTTTTGTTCTCCCAGTGGCTCCCTACTACCTCATAATAAATATTAATGATCATCTTCACAATAAAGCGTGTACTAGCCAAGGGCTTCTCATTATCACCCTGATCCACGCTCAGCGGGGAGTCTACCTGAGATTCCCTCTCTCCCTCTGCCCCTACCCTTGCTCTGCACTCGCTCGCTCGAGCTCTCTGTCTCTCAAATCAATCAATAAAATCTTAAAAAATAACAAAGTTAAAAACAATGATATACACTATATAGAAGAATGCTAATCACTAGGGAGCTGTGGTCATTTCAAATGCTTTATGGCGAGCGTCTCTAACATTAAATTTCTAAAGACATACTTGCTTCTTAGCAAGCATGTCTCAACTTCCACAGCTTGGCTTTGCTGACACATGTGGAGACACACCCCCTTAACTACTGAAAATAACCCATTTAGAAAGGCTTCTTACCATGGTCAACGTGAGCCAAAACGCAGATGTTCCTGATGTTAGCAGTGTTTTTCTGCAGGTGAATCATCTTATCCAAACTATTGAGCACCATGATCCCTTATTTCCTGTGACTAAAAATTAGGTACGTGTCACACATGGCACACGCGCTAAAGATCAGGGCCTAACATTTTTTCCCCCCCCGTAACGTGGGGAGCTGACAGGACGTGTCAGGTCCCTTAAGCTAAGAACCCAGGGAATGTCTGTTGAAGGGGACACACCCATCCGGGCCCAAGTCCCGTCTGAGCAGTGGAGCAGATACCACAGCACGCCTGTAACATGCAGCTCGCTCACCCTCCGGGACCCGACGGCCGCGAGGCATCCCGCAGCTCGCCGGGGCGGGAACACCGGTAACTGCCACCAGACAGGCCTTAACCGGGCAATTGTCTCCCGTGTAAGAAGGGTCGTCCGCAGGACGGAGGGAAGACGCTGACACCTCCCCCTTCCGCTCCTCGATCTTTCCCCACTGCCCTGACGCTGGCACTGTCGCTCGCGCTCACTCAAGACCAAACTCCCGGCTCCACCACCGCCCACCGCGCCAGAATAAAGTTCCGGCTCACATGCTCCCTAACCAAGCAGGTGCGCTACGGGGCTTTGGAAAGGAAGGAAAGCACCCACTGCACAGTCCCTTCCCCTCCCTGGGGCCCCGCATTCGCTGTCTCCAGGACACAGGCGGCGGTCCCCGGCCCCCGGGTGGACCCGACGGCTCCGGGCGGCGGCCGCTCCCAGCTCGAGCTCGCCCCGGCACCTCCGGCCCGCCGGCGACCCGAGTCCCCGCTGCCGCCCGGAGCCCTCCGAGGAGGACGCCAGCCGCCAGCGTGGACCCGCACTCACCGGCTGGGGCCGCTCCGCCCGTCCAGCTCAGTCCCACTCGGCCCCGGTCAGCCACTTGCCGGGCCACACCGCACGCGTCGCAGGCGCCCACTTCCCTGCGGTCCCGGACGCGCGCGCGCCGGGGGGCGGGGCTGGCGGGCGCACGACCTCTGACCCGCGCGCGTCTCTGACGCGCCGGAAGCCGGCGCTGCGTCGGTCTCCCGGGCGCCCGATGTTGCCATGACGACCGCAGGCGCGGCGACCCCGCGAAGCCGCAGGTGCTGAGGGCCGGCTGGGCGGCCGCAGACCGCCGAGAACATGAGGAGCTGGTGTCTGTGTCAGATCTGCACCTGCGGGTAAGGGACGGCCAGCGTGGCGGCGGGCCAGGCGCGGGGTGGCCGGAGCCCCGTCGTGGTCGCCCCCGAGGTGAAGGGACACGGACGCTCGCTCCGCAACACCCCCTACCCCCTCACTTCCCGGCTGCCGGGCTCGACATTTCGTGCTCTTAGACTCCCTGGCCAGGTGCAAACTGAGCGCCGTCCCGCCGGGCGGAGGATACCAGCGCAGTAGCGGCCGGTCCTCAGGCTGCCCGGGAGTGGGATCGGATCCCACTGGGAGAGTGGATGCCTCCAACACCTCAGGGAAAGAGGAAGGCATAGGAATAACGACGCTGTGCAAATCCATGAGCTTTCAACCCGTGCTACGCTTTCTTCCACCTGCAGCTGTCCATCCAAGCCCGACCGTGTCCCCGGTCCTCTCCGGGCAGTGCCCCCGCTGTGCATGCAAGCCCGACCGTGTCCCCGGTCCCCTCCGGGCAGTGCCCCCGCTGTCCATCCAAGCCCGACCGTGTCCCCGGTCCCCTCCGGGCAGTGCCCCCTTAGGGATCTGCCTGACTGAGAAGGGAGTAGCCTCCACCCTGAAACCCAGAATTGGTCTGTGAGTCCTGCCTAACAACTTCCCACCCCCTGTAAACACAGTCTTCTCTCTCAGCTTCATTGTTGGCCCAGGGATTAAATCACTGCTAAATAAATATTAGGAGCATGTCGATTCCACGGAATGAATGACCATGTAACAGTGGGAAGTGAGTGGAATGGTATCAGTCAAATCTGTCATGTTTATGTTAGGATCCGAAAGTTGGCCATTTAAGCAGATAAATCAAGATGTTCAAAGCTCAAAGAAAAATTAAAAAACAGATGTAGCCTCCGGAAAAACTAAGAAGCAGAGATCATCAGAAAGTTGTTTCTAGAGACAAGAAACGTTGGGACAGGAGACTTTGGCTTTCCTTTATAAGCTTTTCGGTATTTGTTTTGTTACAATGTGAATGTATGTCTTTGCTGGAAAATAAAACTGAGAACAACGAGAAATGTCAAAGCTTCGACTTGATTCTTGTAACTTAGTGCACCCATATCAGAACCTCCATGCATGACCTATGTACCTGCCCCTGATTTTCCCAAGAGACCATGTGTGGTACTAAGTCAACTTCAGCACTTTCCCAAAGCCTCCATTGTCAGCCAATAATCCCAAATCTCTCAACTCCTCTGATTTTGAATTTTCCTGAATAGCCTTTGAAACCACCTCTTCACTCTTCTCTGCGTTACAGTGCTTCCTGCTGTCCAGCAACCTCCAAGCAGAGCAGCTGATCTCTCTTACGTTCTTCCTGGGGGTTCACGGAGTCCAGATATCCTAGCCGGTTCTGATTTCATCTACAGAGCATATGCGTTTTCCTCAAATTCAGCTTTCCTTGGGCTTGTATTATTAGCCCTCGCACATAGCCCGGGTCCCCAGATGACATCGGACCCGAGAAACTGACCTCATATTTCAGCATTGTGGGATGTTACTTTTTTGTTGTTTGCTTGGGTTTTTCTGTCTGTTTTGTTAAGGGCTTTTTTCTGATTATGAAATGAATATACAGGAGGCATGGTATGAAAATGCAAGGCAAAAAACATAGAATATAGTGAAAATCCCTCATAATCCTAGTCCCCACAAATAAAAATGTTCCTTAAGACTTGTTTTACAAGTCCTTTAAAAGGGAAGGGAGAGAAACAGAGCCGACCATACATACTCTTCTAGAACCCGCTTTTTCAGTGTTGACAATTTCTGCATCTTGCAGTCGTCACACCTAGAGATCAACCCCATTCTCTGTAACCACTGTGTGCTATCAGCTTATGTGATGTATTGGTCAGGGTTCTTCGTTATGGAGTTAGGGAGTGGTTCTGAGGCCTACCGCTCGGCTGCAGATTCCCAGTTGTTGGCAGGGAACCGCTCCTTACCGCCAAGGTCAGGGAGCTGCCAGTCAGGAAGCCACCTTGCAAACCTGAATGCTGCCTGACAACTGCTGGCTCCAGCCTCTCGGTGCCTCTCCCACAATCCTGCCAGCAACAGGGCTGGGCTCTGCCTCTCTCCCTAGGTAGCGCTCTCTGATTCCGAGTATCATGTGAACATCCAGCAGGTGAAAGCTAAATTGAGTGTGGAACCTGCCTGAAAGGGGCCTGGTAGATGTGCTTGTGAGCTTTTTCAGCTTCTTAGTATAAGGAGACCCACTAAATCTTTGTCAGAGGAAAACCAGAGTTTCCACCATAAAGGATATATCATAATTTTCTCTTGTTTTGGTAAACACCATTGCAGAATAAATGGAAGGTATTTTGTGTTTGTTTTTTAGTAAGGTTGCTTTTAAATTTAGAGATTCTATGTTTTTTGAAGGTCTCTCTGATGAAGATGCAATTATCATAAAATATTTTTGGAAGTCAAAATAATCTTTCAGTTTATTTATGTTTGCACAGGCGACATCACTGTCCACATGGAACCACAAGGATTTATGAAAATTCTGGTGTATCTTGCCCCACCACTGAATATTCGGAAAAATATCCTACCTATGGCAATGTTCTTCCACCTCAGAGTCTGAAACCCAAGCAAGAATTTCGAGCATGCCGTGGTAAAATGGAAGGAATAACAACATTTAAGTAAATATTAAGAAACTAACTGCTTTACTTACTTCTCTTCCAACTCTTCTGGTCTTAATAAAGTTTTTTAACTATTTAAAGTGAACTATTAAGTTGATCGAAGTTGAACCAATTCAGGAAGCAAGGAACTAGTTGAATCACAACTTGAGAAAAACAGAAAGATGAAAATTAAGTTAGAATGACAGAAACTAAGAAAGAAAAAGGGAAATAAAAAGTTTTACTGATTTTTTTTTAACCACTTAAAATCTCTTATGTCTGTCTGCTTTCCACTGTCACCTCCAACTAGAGGAATACAGGAACTTCCTGTTTTTTCTGTATCTACTCTACCTCTCTGATCTGTTTCCTATACTTTAGCCTGCAGAGATGATCTTTTTAAAATGCAGTTCTAATCCTATCACCTCGTTGCTTAAAATACTTATACTTTCCCCACTGTATTTAATATACACTAAAATCCCTTCATGGTTTGGTCCCTAATTCCTTCTCTAATTTATTTTCAATGTACTTTTTAATGCTCACATCCCATAGGACATTTCTCATTTCTTTTTTTTTTTTTTTTTTGAAGATTTTATTTATTTGACAGAGAGAGAGGGAGAGAGGGAATACAAGCAGGGGGAGTGGGAGAAGGACAAGCAGGGGGAGTGGGAGAGGGAGAAGCAGGCCTCCAGGCTGAGCAGGGAGCCCAGTGCAGGGCTCGATCCCAGGACCCTGGGACCATGACCTGAGCCGAAGGCAGACGCTTAACAACTGAGCCACCCAGGCGCCCCTGGACATTTCTCATTTCTTGAAAATATCAGGATTCCCTTGTCACAGAGCCTTCCAGTATACTATTTTACTTACTTGGAAATTTCTCTCCCTTTTACCCCAGTTAATTCCTGTGTAACCTATAGATCTCAACTCAGTTATCACTCCGAGAGCCTCTGACACGTGTGTATCCAGTTCTCAGGCTGGGTAAAACTCCCCTATGTAAGCCCTCAGAGCATCTTCCTGTTATTTATCATAGATCCATTTCAGAGGCCCGTGCAAGCAGGGATTGTGTCTATTCTTATCTTGGCATTCTATTTCCAGAAACCTAGCATGATGCCTGCTAGCATGTAGGAGGCACTCAATATTTATTCAGTTGGGAAGATAAACCAAAAAAAAAAAAAAAAAAATTCCTCCTAAGCCTTAACTCCTCATTTAGGCTTAGCTTTAAAAAAAAAAAAAAAAAATTGTATCTTTGTCAATGGGTTAATTCTTTTCTTTATTCTCTTAATGTGCATACCATACTCAATGTACAATCTTAGATGTTAAGTATAAAAGGATCTATAAATAGAGGTTTCTGCTTTCAAGGAATGGCTCAGATTTCTATAATTTGGGTTTTTAAAAATGCTCTACAATTTAATTTGCTGTGTTATCCATGTTCATATCATTTTAGATAGAGCTCGTTCTACTTGCATGAACAAAGGTTGAAACCTTCAAACTTTGAGTCCAATACTTCTACCTTTAACATTTCAGGCAACCCTTGCAGTAATAGTGCTCAGTGACTCCCTTGACTTTTGTGGGTGTGTGGCTCTTCCACAGATTTGAAAATCTTCCATAGTCCTCAGACTTGGTATGCTTTAGAATCATCCAGAAGGGTTACAATTGCAGATTCCAGAGTTCCACCTAAAACAGTCAATAGATAATGGAGTGGATCCCAGGAATCTGCATTTTAACCACCATTGCTGGTCATTCTGTTGCCATAGATTCAATGAAATGGGTCAAGTACTGCACTGGTCCCTGGGCGTGACGTGGGACGTAAAGAAGGACTGTGCCCCACTGTGGCTTTTACAGCCTTGTGGGAATGGCAGTTGAAAAGCAGAAACACAGATAAATAAACAAGATACCGATTAAAGCAAATGAGATGAAGAAATTGAACGACAGAGCAAATGGGAGTGGTTGCTCTTTTTTCTTCGCCCTAGCGTTCATTCTTCCTCGATGCCTTAAAAATTCAGAGTGGAGATTTGAAATAAATTCCACAATATGCATTTTGTTGAATAAAGATTTTGCATTTAACTAGTTCTGAATGTTAAAATTGGGGAAGTATATCCTGCCATATCTTTCTTTAAAAAGGCAATTGCTTTTCAATTCTGGGTTTGTCAGTTGACTTGTTCAAGTATCCCTATATAGTAAAAAAAAAAAAAAACAAAAAAACAAAAACAAAACACAAACCCAAAAAACAACCAGCCAACCAAACAAACAAAAAACAGGAAGAAAAAGATGTCCCAACTCCCAAAAGGTCAGAATATGCCAGTAAAACTAAAATTTCCATTTCTCAAATCACATCTCAAATTACATCTTTACATCATTACTACACTAAGTAAAACACTGCATCTTTTCTTTGTATTTTGAACTGGGGAGCTAGCAGTATTTCCAAGAGCCTTATGCCGGGGGTTTAGAACCCTTCCTTCACTCCCTCATGTCAACTGTATTGACTAAGCAGCAAAAAGCCGATGTACCTGTACAGAGAATAAAGGGTCATCCTATACTTTTCTAGACTAGAGGACGAGACTGTAAAAAGCAGATGTCTGGACGTGCTTAAGACTTTGGACCCTTTATAGCAGGACGGTTGCCGTACAGTTCGAGGACTGCCAGAGTCGGCGAGGAGTCTGCCCTGGAAGTATGGTTATGGACATGTCCTATGTTTGGGGACATATCCAACGACTAAGAGTGTATTTACCCATTATCACTTCTCCATAGAAAGCTGCTTTGGGTTTGGAAGTACACTTTCTAACATTTAACTAATCTAACTAGAGAAACTAAGACTTCAAGCCTTTCTCTCTGTCCTCTCCCCGATTCTTCCACTCCCTGATTGCATTTTAGCCTATGTCCCTCTAGCTGGTATTTGGGAAGAGCAAAGAACAACTCAGATGTCTTGAGAATAAGAGGTATGTGATTGCTACTATTTATCTGTTAAGTAATACTTAGTAAGCGCTTGGTAGGTGTCAGGCACTGGGGTATAGTGGTGAGCGGAAACAGTTGCGATCTCTGTGCCCACAGATGCTGCCGTCTAGTGAAGGCAGCAGCGCACCGCTCAGAATAAGTACAAGATCGCAGCAGGGATACAGTCCATGAGGGATAGGCACAAGGGGCCTTGAGAGCCAGAATAAGAGGTTTGATTTTATCAGGGAAATGAGAAGAATGAGTGGAATCCTGAAGGATGTGAAGCAATTCAGTGGATGAAGTAGGTAAGGAAATGCAGTGCAGACAGAGCAGCATGCAGCCCGCAGGAGCAGGGAGAGGAGGCGAGCAGGAGGCGAGCAAGAGCAAGTTTCCTCTAGTGGCTGGTGAAGGAGCCACGTGGGGCCTCTGGGCCACATGTGCTGTTTTCTGCGTCCTTAGAGCAGTAAGAGGCCACTGAAGGTTTCGTTTCTTTCTCATTTGTCTGCCTGCTTGCTTGTTTTCTGAGGGGATGTAAAAGGCTAATTAAGGAGGAGGCTAGACAGCTCAGGGCAGGAATGACTTGATCAAATTTACATGTGAAAGGATCGCTTTGGGTGCCACGTGAGGAAAGGCGGGGAGAAGCTAGGATGAGGGGAGGAAGATACACGAGTTTAGGAATTGTTGAATTGATTTGAATAAGCTACTGTGGGAGCTTGGACCTGTTGCGGTAATGACAGGAGATCTGAGAGAGAGTTAGGAGGTGGAAATGACAGGAGTTGATGAAGCCGCAGCCGCAGGAGGGAGCTGCGGTGCGAAGGGTGAGGGCTGGGTCCCCGCTGCTAAAGGATGGTATGCTCTTCACTACGATGGGGCGCCAGCGAACGGACCAGATCTGTTGGGGGCATGTTAAGTCTTGAGGTGCCGTTGGCAATACAGGTCGGGAGCTCAGAGAAGGGTCTGAGCTGAGCTATAAATTGGTGGGTCATCTCTATTTCAGTGGTAATTGAAGCTGTGGGAGTAGGGCTGTCTTCAGGGGTGAGCACCGCAGGAGAAGAGGGATGTGTGCGGGCCCCAGTGTTGAGAAACCCCCAGCATTTAATGGCCAAGGAGAGGGGGGACGAAGCTGCATCAGAGACCGAGGAGAAACCAGCAGGAAGGCAGGAGGAGAGAGTCTCCTGGAGACAGAGGGAGTGGGCCATGATGCCCATCAAGTAAGAGGAGGACTACAGACTCCGTCACAGAGAAGCCACTGTGACCCGTCAGGCGGTGCTGGAGCCCGGCTTGACGGGGGTGGATGGGATTGAGGAAGAGGAGTCAACAAGCCTAAGAAATTGTATCATGAGTAGAAGGGATTCGGTGAGGTTTTGGGGTTTTGGAGCTTATGGACATAAATAGAAAATAGTGATTAATACAAGATGGCTTACGCCAATAAAGCGAGTGACACTGTCCGCAGAGTTCAGAAGAAAAAAAGCAGTTTTGAAGACGTGTAGTCATAATAGTAATAGCTGACATGTTGCCCTTACTGTGTACCAAGCTCTCTCACACGTGTGCGTGCGTGTGTGCATGTATGTGCACCAGTCCTTGAGACAACCCCATGAGCTAGATGACGTGATTGTCCTAGTTTATATATAAGGAAACTAGGGCCTGGACAGGGCAACTAAGTTGCCCAAGGTCACACATCCAATGAATGACAGAGCCAGGATTTGGACCCAGGCAGTCTGGTCACTCTGGCTCTGTCATCTGCACCCCACCAGACAGCCCCAGTGTCTACAGCACCATTTCTGCCACAGAATGTTATATAATGCCCAGGGTGGCTGGACTGCGATATGCGGCTCTCATCCACGACAAGGGCGTCTCGGGATCCAAAGACGAGTAAGAATCACATCCATACTATGAATGTGATTTATGACTGAAGGCCAGAGTTTAGACATTAATTATTTATTTAACTGGTTCTTTATAATAAGCAGGAAGACAGCATGATTTCCGTAAGAGGAAAGCACGCCCAAAGAGCTTAGTCTTTAAGTAGGATGCCTAAGGATTTTGACAAAGTAGACCCAGGGGATATATTTAAAATTTTTTCTTAGACTCATTAAATCTTTCACATAAGATTTCCTTCCAGGTTAGAAAAAAATTCAGTTACTTAAAGATTTTATTTATGTAAGATCCAATCAACTGAAGATCCACATCATAATGATGTTTGAAAACTAGAATTTTTGACATATTGCTTAAGATGTTAGTCACTGGGTAGGACATAAAAGAATTAAATTATTTCTCTCAAGTAGTTTATTAACTATCACCATTTTAATATCTTCTTAGACTTTTCAACTGAAATAAACCTTGAAAATTTCAATACTGCATTAGAAAAATCAGAAATAAAGGAACCTGTGAGGCTATGTTTCAAACTTCTATATTTCAGATCGGATTATCGTCCTTACGAGATAGTCAAACAGCCTCGCCATGTACCGGAAGAATACAAACCAAAACAGGGGGAGATTGATCTTGACACTACCTACAAACGAGATTTTAATTCTTACAAAGTGCAGCCTGTGGCCATAGTCCGGCCTTTGGAGAGACAACAAGTTAAACAAGGGAAGGTGGACACTGTCCCAACCTATAAAGGTAACTTGCCATTTCAAAAATGAAGGAGCCAAAAAATTAAAGCTCACTTCCATCCAACATCAAATCATAATTTGGTGTGTTGCCAAACTTAGCTCCCATGGCTTAGGAAAACTTGTTTGCCTTTGGTCAAAGTAGTATTACATAGTGGAAAAAAAAGACCATTTGCCTGATTGAGCGTTCAAATTTAGCCACTTAATTCATTTTCTCTACCTAAAAACATATACAGCTGACCTAAAACAATGTGGTTTGAACTGTGTGGACCCACGTATGTGTAGATTCTTTTTGATAAATACAGTCCAGTCCTGTAAATGTGTTTTCTCTTCCTTATGATTTTCTTTTCTCTAGCTTACACTATTGTAAGAATACAGCATGTGATACATAGAACATACAAAATATATGTTGACTGTTATGCTACTTTTAAGGTTTCTGGTCAACAATAGGCCATTTGGTAGTTTTGGGAAGTAAAAATTATGTACAGATTTTTGACTGCACAGAGGTGCAGTGCCCCTAACTCCTGTGTTGTTCAAAGGGTCAACCATAAAAACAAAGGATGTCACTGAACAATCATTATGTCACACTTGGCACATCATGCCACATTTAGTTGGCACCATTCCTTTCTTTCCCTTCCAGAATGAGTTGAAACTCTACTGAGTGTACTGGAGTCAAAGAAGGTCAAATAAATAGCAACCCTCTTTACCATTTAAGTTCTGAACCAACTGATAAAGCAAAAGAGTTAGCAAGTGGAGAACCAAATACTCCCTTTCTAGTGATAAAGAGGCTAGGGTAAAGGATAAAGCAGATGCTTCCCGATACTGAACTCAGAAAAAAACAGGCTTATCCACCCAGTGACAGTGTTGGACCACCACTTAGGAGACCAGCTCCTCTAAGACTTCCAGCATGGAAGAAGTGTGAGAATACCTTCTCCCTTTTGGCAACCGACTTGGACAAGTAAGGGGCTGGACATTGTATGGCTAGTTTCTTTCCAAAAATCAACCTGATTTCAAAATACTCTATTGCTTTTGGGGAGTGGAGTCGTTTTTTAAAAGGCTATCTTGTTACTGCATATCATTTCTATATTATTTTTTGTTAATAATATAATTGCATATTTAAGTTTATATCCTTTTTATTATGTGATATGGCTGAGTGGTATGTCCTCATATAAAACCCTTTTGTAAAAGTGATGTCACCCACAATAAAAGCAGCAGTTTAAAGTTTAAATAGACAATAGCTGAACACATATGTATTCTTCAAATACCATAAGTAAATATATGTTTACCAGTACGCTATGATCTATAAGTAGGGAGGTCAGGAGCACTGTACTTTCATCTTTTTGGCTGTGAGCACGTAAGATGCTACACAAGGACCAAAGTTTTAAGACAATGCATATGGTAAACAAGTATACTGTCATAATGCAATATAGCATATAGCAATCACAGATCTGTATCTACTGGTATGCAGAGGTCATATACTACCATAACAATTTTACATAAAATATATTTGGTGAAAACAACGGGGTCTTTTAACAACCATAGTAGGAATTTCTTTTCTTTTTTGTCCTACAAGATCTATCAAAAAGTATCAGTAATATTGATAGTCCCCCATGCTGTGACGATTACACATAACACACACACACACACACACACACACACACACACACACATACACACACACACTAGTTCTAGCTTCTCATTACCTGGGTTTCCTGTAGCTTTCCGTACTTCTACCCCCATAATCCAATGTTGAGGATTCCTGGGATCCCTCTGGTTTTCTCACTTCTGACCTTTCCTAGTGAGGAAAGGTTATCTTTGTATTTCCAGGTGTGGGAGCATGAGACAATAAATATTAAGGGCCAAGGCAGTCCTCATTCTGTGTGATGAATGTACTGCAGGTTTTGTAGATAACTATTTACGGACAGGTCTGTAGCTGATGAGAAATCGCAATGAGAAGAGACTCTCTCACTATCCACCGAGAATCAGAGAACCGAGGAAAGACAGAGAGGGGATATGATAAAGAAAAAGGAAGAGAAAACCCTGTAGGGCTGTGACGAGAAGGGTAACATCTAGATTCCAGAGACGCAGTTCTATGAGACAGGTTACTCTTAGACAGAAATGTATCTGCTCCCAGCAGCCTCAGGTTAGAAAGTCATTTATACTGAAATGTAGATGATTAAAATAGGCCAGCACTGGACTTGGTACATGTCTTAAGGATTACTCTGTTCTGTGCTAGGCACTGTAGGGAATACAGAGATCTGAACTGAGCGTGGTTGTTAACAGATACTTTATGGTTGAGGAGAAAAAGCAATAGTAGCAGAAAAAATTAAATAGCCATACGAGAAATAAATAATATGTGTTATCACTAGGGAGGAGGATAATTCACTAGAAAATTAATGGAACAAGTCATGTTTCAAAAATTTAGACTGAGCAAGACTGAGCAAAATTCAGGCCAGCCTGGGAACGTATCAGAGAGCAGTAAGTATTGATCTATAGGAAAGGGAGGGACATCACTAAAACTAGGATGAAATAAGCACAAACACATAGAGCCAGAAAAATAAAGGGGTTGTTCTGTAAACATCAGAGGATTTCAGGAAGTGAGAGATTGGGGTGTAATTCTATATATGTAGGTAAAGGTCAGATTGTGAAGCATCAGTTACCAGACTGAGGTCCTTAATAGTTTTCTCGTAGCTGCTAAAAACGCTTCAGTTCTGTCTCCAGGAAGGATATAGTAAATGGCAGAAGGCCATTATTTCCACTGCAATAGCTAAAAATATGTATACATTTTTAAAGTGTAAAACATCTCTTTAATGGCATTGGACAGCTCTGGAAGCAAATAGCTAAAATTGCAGAGATGGAGGAGGCCTTCCTGGGTGAGCTAAGAGAACCAACTCTTTACTTCCCCGGGAGCATTTGTCACACCTTGGCCTAGGCTGAAAACGGAGCTTGGCATAAGCAGAGAGACTCTCCTGGGTGAACGGAAACCAGTGAAGCACCTGATATGTGGATTGGTATAACAAATTGGAATCCATTAGTCCTGCAGATGTATGGCTGGTTTTCCTTGTGGGATGTTTGCTGAATGTGTAGGGGGTATGATGGGCTAGGAGACTGGGCCAGAAAGATCCCACAGCTGTACTTGGGAGTAAGTGCTTAGGAGATAAAGTCCCACAGAAAGAGGGCTGTACCACAAACATACCACAATTCTTGTCCTTGTAACTGGAGGAGGATTATGTCTAACTAAAAATGCCTCTGAGCACCAGCCTAGCTCAATTCCTCATTGGATTAGGGTGATTTGCCTAAACTGGAAAGACCAAGCTTTCTCCTGTTGAAAATAACATTGATTTTATTGTCTATGGTTTACTTATACATGACACCCAGCATTTGGTAAAATATGAGACCTATGAAGAGTCAGGAAATATCTGGAGAAATGATGGTCAAGAAATTTCCAAATCTGATGAATGGGTCAGGCCACAGATTTAAGAAACTTAACAAATCCCGAAATAGATAAATACAAAGAATACCACACTGAGGCAACTATCACCAAACTTCCAAAAACCAAGTGAAGGTGAATTCTCAAAAGTAGTAAGAGAAAAACTACACATTACTTATGAAAAGAAAAATTAGAAATATACCTAACTTTTCACCTAAAGCCATGGAAACCAGAAGATAATGCAATGACATCTTTAAAGTGTTGAAAGGGAAAGAAAAAAAAAAAAAAACCAAACACCTAGAAATTCAAACCCAATGAATCCCAGAATTTTATGTCTAGTGAAAATATCCTTCAAAAAATAGGGCAAAATAAAAATGTTTCCAGGAACAAACAAACAAAAACCCCAGAGATTTTGTTAGTAACCAACCCATACTACAAAAAGTAGTAAAGGAAGTTCTTCAGGTTGAAAGAAAATGATTCCAGAGGGCAGCATGAAATGCAAGAAGGAATGAAGCACACAGAAAGGGTAACTTTGTCGATAAATATAAGAGAATATTGACTTCTTAAAGTCACAATAATAATTATGTATTTTTACATAAATATAGAAGTAAAATATAATAGCACAAAAGACAGGAGGGGGTAAATGGAATTACACTGTTGAAAGTTTCTTCCACTGCTCTAGAGTGGTAAAAATATCAATTTAAGTTCAAGTAGGCCAAAAAGATCCCCTAATAAGTAAAAAATGTCTTTTTATTCTAAAAATAGGGAAAGTTTTAATTAAAATGCTAACAGAGAAAATGGAGTAATAAACATACCCTGTATCCAAAAGAAGGCAGAAAATAAGGGGTAAGGGAACAAAGAACATGTGGGAACAGTCAAAAGCAAATAGCAATATAGTCAACTTAAACTCGACTAGATCATTCATTACATTAAATATAAATGAACTAAAAATTTCAATAAAACTCCAAGATTGATTATTCAGTTGAAGCATACAAAGTTTCAATTTACCTCTTGAAATAGAGATGTCAAGTAGGAAGATATATATCTGGGTTTGGTGTTCGAACGGAAGTCTGGAATGGAGATTCAACCTCTGGAAGTCATCAGCTTATAGGTAGTATTACTATCATGGGAGTTGTTTGATGATACGTAGATTGAGAAAGAAATGCCCGTGATGGAGCCCCCTGGCTTTATAAAAGTTGCCTCCAAGTCCTCGGTGCCATGATGCCACAGGGAACAGGTTACAAGGTACCAAGGAAGAGAACCAACATGTGCACCTCAGGGCTTTTGTCCTCAAAAGAGGAACCTAGAACAGCTCACTATATAAGGATGGGGACAGAGCTCTGCATGCAGACGTTCATGGTGAGCAAACGCATGCAGACACCTCCTGGGGTTAAAGCTGTTCAGAAGATAACATACTTGCTAACTAGATTTTAGTGGTTAGAAACTGTGGTTAGAAGTCAAAAGAATGAGCAGAGGAAATGGAATTGCCTTTATCTAACCAGGACAATACCACAGTTGCCAGATGGCCAGACTGCATTGTTAGATGTGCATGACATTATGTTTGCCTCTTCTAGAAGGGTCATAAGACACTAAAAACAGATGATGTGAATAAAGATGATGATGTTTTAAAGGTATCACTAGAATGTTATTAATAAGTATTCCAGAATGAACAAATAATCAACATTCCAGGCATATGAGCATAGGCATGTGTATAAAGGGAAAATCAATTTTCTGCAGTTATCTGGAACTGATATTCACGGTAACGTGTGCTGTCAAAACTTGTGTCTCAGTCTCCAAATTTTTGCTTCCTCTTTGAAAACCAAAGCTGGCTTGGTAAGGGAGAATTACTCTCTTCTATTTATTTTCTCTCATGAAATTAATATTTTTCCTCAGTTGTTTTGGCAGCAAGGTGGAACTTTAGGCCTTTAATAGCACCTTGTGATTTCCTTTTAGTTTCTGAAAATAGTATTATAATTTTATACTTCAGGTTGCAAATAACAGAGATTCCTTCATGGTGCCTCAAGCAAAAGAGAGTTCGTGGTAAAGGCTTCCTCTGTACTGGTGGTAGTGGAAAGCTGTCAGGGTCAGAGGAAGCTTGAGGGAAGAGTTACTCCCCCCGCCTCCCTCTCTGCAAGAGCCCCATGGTTTCTCTTACAGCATCTAGTCTGATTGCTATTCCACTCCCTGGGCTCCTCTGCCTATTTATATCACTCCTTTTACCTGACAGGTGGAGTTTTGAAGTCTTCACCTTACCGCAGCTCTCCAATTCCACTTCATGGCATCCTTTTAGATTCATCTCCTGCTTTTATCTGGCTCCATATTTTCAAATTTGGGTTCACAAGAACAAGAATGGCCTACCCAGCTCATCTCTTCTTGCCAGGCTGTTTCATCTGCCTCTACTGGCCTAAAGACTGTCTGCTTTTGGGCCAGGCATCCACTCTCATCCAAACATCAGTAGCTTGATGAGGTAGAGGTAACCCTTTGGTCCACAACTTGGCCATTGGGGCAGAAATGTCTGTGAATGAGGAACTGTTCTCTCCAAAGGAGGTGTCCACATAAAAAGCATTTGAGTTTTGGCCTTTCCAATAGACATTACATGGACTTTAGTCTAGTCTCTAATACATTATCTTGCATAACTTCTGTCTTTTATAAATTAATCTTGGGTATACATCTTTTTGGGTGAAGTCAATTCCACAGTATTTCTTAGCTTTCTACCTTTCTCATCTAGAAATAAAAAAACTAAATAACCCTTGGTTGAAATATAAGTACTTCAGTTTTCCAACCACAGTCTAGGTATGCCACAAGAAGCAGAATTAAGGTATTTAACCCTAAATCTCAGACTTAGCTCTGAAGTTCCTTTCTAAATTCTACATACAATTTCTGGTATGTTTTGAAAGCACTCAGTTCAGGCCTCTGGCCTCTAGATGGCACTCTGTCTTTTGGTGATACCTTGAAGTCCATTTTCTGAGAAGCTAAAGTTAAGGCAATCATCTTTCTGAGACAGTACAAGTTACTCTGTATGTTTGCTCAGGGAGTCCGGCAGGCTTTCCCACAGTATAGTGGAGTTGAAATTCTCCTTTGAGGAGTCCCTCCAAGGCAAAGAATAATACCCGCATCACTGTGCCCACACATCAGGGCCTTTGATTTTATGTTACTCCCTAGATTTTATGGTTTACTTTAGCATTTCATGAGTTATGGTGAAAATCCCAACCAGTTCTTGGCAAACACAATCATAATCTCCTAAACTCGGTCTTTACCCAAAACACAGGCTTTCAAAAACTATCAACAATCCAAGCTCAGATATTCCACTCCCTTGTGGTGTATTCAGGTAAATCTAGAAGTACAAAGTTATATGTACTAAAGTGGGCAGAGGAAGGTGGATATGAAGAAAACACAAATCAGGGGAAGCTGAGCAAATTCAGACTTGATTAATGTTCAGATTTCTGAAGGAAATGGGAGGACGTTTGGCAATGAGAGAAGTCAGTCATGATTTTTAGAAGAAGGTGGTTTTCTTCAGTATTTTAAATGCTCTCTTTTTTATTTTCAAGATGATTATAGAGCCTGGGACATTCAGAAAATTGACCTTTATAAGCCTGAACAAACTTATCATCCCCCCACTGTGAAATTTGGAAATTCAACTACATTTCAGGATGACTATGTTCCTCAGGAGATAAAGCCTAGGCAAAGCTTTAAACCCAGCCCTGTAGTCAAACGTTCTACAGTCCCTTTTAATGGTGAGACAAGCCATCGCTTTGATTATGTACCTTATCAGCTAGAACTCAAGTTTGCAAGGCCAAAAGAAGTGTACAAGCCAACCAACCAACCCTTTGAGGATCTCACAACTCACCGATACGACTTTCAGGGTCTTGTTGGCGAAACTGCAAAAATCTGCAGACCTCCATACACCAGAGTGACCCAAAATGCTCATTTTGAAGGAAGCACGGAATTCCGTGAAAGCTTTCAACCTTGGGAAATCCCACCACCCAAAGTCAAGAAAGCACAAGAATATGTCCCGCCTACAGGTACCATGCAGCTGAGCAGCACAAGCCATCTCGACTATGTTCCCTATCAGACCAGACGTGTCAGTCCCATCAGGCCAGTTGATCAAAGAAGAAATAACAATTTTCCTTTTCAAGGAAAAAGCACCACAAAGGAAGATTTTCCAGCCTGGGAATGCTGTCGTCAAGGTCTTATTAAGCAGCAGCAGCAGATTCCCAACCCATCTGGAAAATTTGATGGTTGGAGCACTTTCAGGTCTCACTACGTGCCACATGAGCTGATCCCGACGGAGAGCTGCAAACCAGTACATGCTCTGTTTAAGAGTTCGGCTCCATTCGATGACACAACCATGTACTCTACAGAGTACACACCAAAGAAACAGGAAATCTGCCCTGCTAGCTATCCTTCTCCTCCAGGGTATATCTTTGAAAGTACAAATTCTCAAGGCCATAAATTCTTCCGCAAGGTTACGCCCACAGTGGAGGCCTTCTAATCATCAAATCATGTTTAAAATGAAGCTAACAGATATTGGTTTTCTAAGGGCAAAGCCAGGCTTTTTTTGGGGGGGGAGGGGAAGAGGGGGAGAGAGACTCTTAAACAGGTTCCAAGTCCAGCACAGCGCCCGATGTGGGGTTTGATCTCACAATCCTGAGATCATGACCTGAGTTGAAATCAAGAATTGGACGCTTGACCGACTGGGCCACCCAGGCGCCCCAGAGCCAATTTTTTATAATCAAAATAACTTATGGGAGAGCTAAAACAAATCATTTTTAAATCTGTAAAAATTGATTTGGAAAATTAATCATAGGAAATAAGGGCCTTAAAATCCATTTTGTATTGATCCTTTACCAAGATTGTTCTTTAAGATGCTGTTCTGAACGCTGAATCATGGACATTCCCATCTGAACTACTTTAATTCCCAACCTACTCTTTGGTTGCTTCTCTCCAATCTATTATCATTTATACCTATGTTTTTAATTATGGCAACTACACAGTTACTTACCTACCAGTTGTCATGTATCAAGTGCGTTAGGACTGTCTAGCATGTGTCTGAAAATGATGCATGGATTCCTCATCCAAGACAATGGTCTTCATTTCCTCAGACTTCAGAGCATCTACGCAGTGCACTGTGGTTGGTGGTGCTGAGGGCAGTTGCACTGCTCCTCACCACGTTCACGTTCATAAGAGGAACTATGGTGTGACAAGCAAAGGCTCTGCGGGCTGGGAATCAAGGTTCTGAGTTTGGGTTCCAATGATATCACCCTAGGCCAACGATTTGAGTCTTTGAGCCCCAGTGTCTTCATTTGTAAAAGGACATCTGCTCTGCTTAGTTCACAAATATTGTTTTGAGCATCAGATCATATGATTCATTGTAACCTGAAAACAAAAGTGCTAAGCAAATGTCAGGGATTCTTAATAAGTCCCTTAATCCCGTTTTGTACCTGTTTTCTCCTTTTTCAAATTAGGGTAATTAACCTACTCAATATTCATTTTCTGGCCTGAGGCAAGAATTGTAAAATGACTGATTTTGCTTTGAGCTTATGAGTAGTAGTTCGATTCCTGAGAAGAGTTTTGTCCTCCACAACCACAAGCACCTGAGAGCTCGCTACAGAGAATGGAGAGCTTGGATTCAGAGAAGAACGTGGTCGGAAAGACAGTACTTACAGGAAGGAAAAAGGTATTGTTAGAGTAGTTTTAGGAATGACCGACAGTTCTGAAGAATCTTCAGGGTAACCCTGGGTAAGGATGCACCTAATGGCCACGCCCAGAGTTTCAGAAGCAGGGGCAGGCTCCCGGTGGGGCATAATTGTGTCCTTCTTCTCTAGTGTGAGCTAAGTGCTAAGAAGCGGTGGGAAGAATGATGCCAGTAAGTGAAGTACGAAGAACACGTTGCATTTATAAATGCTGAAAATGTCCTAATGAATCAAACTCCTATTGTTTCTTTTTCTTTAATAAATGATTGCATTATGGGGAGTAGCTTGCTTTTATTTACATTTGTATTAGTGAAAATTATGATATGTAGAATTTTATATCCATGCAACACTAATAAAGCATTGATAAAATGAATGAATTTTCATGAAATAATTTCTGTACCAAATTTTCTCTGGAAAAGGGAGCTTTTTGTTTTTTAATTTTTTAGTGTTATGTTAATCACCATACATTACATCATTAGTTTTTGATGTAGGGTTCCATGATTCATTGTTTGTGCATAACACCCAGGGCTCCACGCAGAACGTGCCCTCCTTAATACCCATCACCAGGCTAACCCATCCCCCCACCCCCCTCCCCTCTAGAACCCTGTTTGTTTTTCAGAGTCCATCGTCTCTCATGGTCCGTCTCCCCCTCCGATTTACCCCCCTTCATTCTTCCCCTCCTGCTATCTTCTTCTTCTTCTTTTTTCTTAACATATATTGCATTATTTGTTTCAGAGGTACAGATCTGTGATTCAACAGTCTTGTACAATTCACAGCACTCACCATAGCACATACCCTCCCCAATGTCTATCACCCAGCCACTCCATCCCTCCCACCCCCCCCCACTCCAGCAACCCTGTTTGTTTCCTGAGATTAAAAATTCCTCATATCAGTGAGGTCATACGATACATGTCTTTCTCTGATTGACTTATTTCACTCAGCATAACACCCTCCAGTTCCATCCACGTCGTTGCCAATGGCAAGATCTCATTCCTTTTGATGGCTGCATAATATTCCATTGTGTATATATACCACATCTTCTTTATCCATTCATCTGCCGATGGACATCTTAGCTCTTTCCACAGTTTGGCTATTGTGGACATTGCTGCTATAAACATCGGGGTGCACGTCCCCTTTCGGATCCCTACATTTGTATCTTTGGGGTAAATACCCAGCAGTGCAATTGCTGGATCGTATGGTAGCTCTATTTTCAACTTTTTGAGGAACCTCCATACTGTTTTCCAGACTGGTTGCACCAGCTTGCATTCCCACCAACAGTGTAGGAGGGTTCTGGAAAAGGGAGCTTTTTAACTAAAGTCTTATCTAGGTTAACGTGTATATAACTAGATACTCTTATATTTTCAATAGAAAACATTATTGTATACTCAAAAGGAAACAGTAGGGAGTATGGTAATGCTCTCAACCTGGCCCATTTTCTGAGGCTGGACATTCAAATCCCTCTGCAATCTGATGCGGGTAGTCTCCTCCCTAGACAAAGGTTACCCGTAGTAAGAGGTATCCTGGGGTTTCCCGAGGCAATGTGACTTGAGCTGAAGGCACAAAGATGAATAATGGTGTGTCCCTAAAACACTCAATATAACAGGTGTGACTAAGAGACTGGAACAGGGTGTACATGGCCCACTTAGCCTGGGAGTTCAGGAAAAGCTTCCTTAAGGAGAGGACAGTTGAACTGAATCTTGAGGGGTAAGTAGGAACTTGCCAGATCAAGGAAAGCAGGGAGGTGGGAACAACATGAACACAGGTACAGAGGGATCTGTAGCTCTGGGCAACACTTAGAGAGTTCCAGATGTGGTGGAAAGCCAGCACGCCCTGATTCATGGCCTTTTCAGGTCTCTTGGAATATGTACTGTGCAGGAACACACACACACACACACACACACACACACACACACACCACTGTAGCAGCACTGGAAACCAGTACTGTTTAACAACCTGCCAGATTCTAGAAGGAATTTTCACTAAGCCAAACTGGGCTGAATCCGATGAAGAAAGGAGGATAATTCAGAGGGGAAAGGCAGTAGGAAACTCCCCCCCTCCCCGCCCCATCCCATGTCCACCTGTCTCTCTGCATATCCTTGTAGAAAATAAGCCCCACAGACTCAGAAACTAGAAAGAAAGGCTTTGTGGTTTATAAAAACTGCACGGGCAATGCTAAGAGTGAACCCTGAGGCAAACTAGGGACTTTGGACGATTCGGATGTGCCGGGCGTAGATTCACAGATTGTAACAGACGTGCCGCTCCGGTGGGGGCTGCGCCCGGTGCAGGGTGCTGCGCATGGTGGGGGGCCTGCACCCAGGGGGGGGGGGGGGGGCTGCCCCCGGTGGGGGGGGCCAGCGCGTGTCGGGAGGCAGAGGGCACAGGGCAGCTCTGTACCTGCAAGTCCATTTCGATGTGAACCTAAACCGTTCTAAGAAGAAGACTATTAACAAAAACTGGAGGGCAGGAAGAGAGGAGGGGCGCGTTCACCCGTCAGAGGTCGGGAAGCCCCTGCCACAGCTTAGTACATCAGATTTATGTACAGACTCTATTTTGTATGAAACCACTACCTAAGGCGCTGCCTGAAGGGAGGAGCCTCCTAATACAAAGGCTAGAGGAGCCGCCTGCCCAGCCCTCCGGGAGGGAGAAGGTGAACCTTGTAATCCTAAATTAGCCAACTTCAAGAAGGCTGTTGCAAAAGAGGGCTGATAATATGCTTCTGAAGGCGTCACCGTGGCCAACAAAACATGAGGAATCTTTCATTCTCTTAAGGCTTCAGCTGTTTTCCCTCTCCACTCAATGCTGTTTTATGGGGATGTGCAGATTTTCACCCTGTGTCACCCCTCCCCAAGCTACCCAGGAGCACAGCACGCGGTTTGATAGCTGCTCTCTGGGGGGGGGGAAGCGGGCCCGTTGCCACCACCTCCAACATCCCCAGCGATGCTCCTCTATTTGTAGCCTTTACGGAACTATCACAGTTCACAAGGACAGGGGGCTGGCAGAGGCTTAGTCCCAGCAAGTATTTAAAGATGCTGAGTCCATGATTAAATCACGAATAGGAAGTGCCCTCAGCAGTGATAACTGACGATGAGCCTGGCTGATGGCAAAAAGAAGGAAGGAAGGAAGGAAGGAAGGAAGGAAGGAAGGAAGGAGGGAG